GTATAGTACTTGCATCCCTGCACCCTATCCAATAGGTCGTCTATGCGAGGTAGAGGTTCTGCGTTCTTCACAGTGATGGTATTGAGGCCTCTATAGTCAATGCACATCCTCAAAGTAGCACAGGTGATCCGTAAGGGGAAGTACTAGGCCGAATCCATCCCTTCTCTGTCAGCTCCTTTAGTTGCTTCCGAAGTTCATCTAACTTGGCAGGGGCCATCCTATAGATCCTTCCCTTTGGGGTCTTACTCCCTGGAATGATTTCTATAGCGTGGACGACTTCCCTATCAACAACTCCTGTGGGCTCCTCGAACAGATCAGGGAACTTAGCAACGACGCGTTTTATCTCTGGGGGTGTTTTAACAGCCTCCCCCTTCTCAGAGACATAAACTAGGTACATACACTCCTTTTCGTTTTGCTTGTAATAGTTGTAGAACGCGGTTGCGCACAAGCAGCCATAGGTATCTATAATACTACTGGCCTTGAACTTGGTCAATCTGACACTTCGGCCATCGGGCAACTTGTGCTTGAGCACCTTCTTATCCCAGTCGAACTGGGGCTTAGCAACTTCGAGGTAGTACATGCCTAACAGTATATCGAATGGCAAGTCGTCGCTAACCAAGAACGAGATCTTATGGTTAAGCTCACCTCCTCCGTAGGAGAAGGTACAGACTACGTCCTTGATGTAGTCTGTGACAATCATGCGCTCTTTGTTGGCCAAAGTAGATGCTACTGGTCTACTAAGGTGTCGTACCCGGTCCTATAGGTGCAGCCTTTCCAAACAATCGCGACTTATGTAATTCCGCGTGGATCCGTTATCTATGAAGGCACCACATTTGCGGCCTCCTACGTCCACCTCCATTACGAAATGTTCCCCTCTAGGACCCTTCTTTAGCGCCACCCAAGACTCGCGGGGGTCCTTGTTTGACCACTCGCCTTCTAAGTCTTCTAAGGCCTCAGACACATCTAACGTACAGAGCATAGTTTGGTCTAGATGCGTCTGCGGGGTGACTAAGGAGTCATTAGCTTCCGCCTTGTCATAAAGTGAGGAGGGTATCTTGCTCACTTCATCTTGAGTAGAAGCCGCTACTACTTCCACTGGCCCTACGCGTTTCCCGAGCTAGAAACCTGGGAGTAAGATGCCCCCATCTTTGGAGCAATCTTTTGCGTAACCTTAGCGTTCTGACACTTCCACTGCGTGTGTCCGTATTCTCCGCAGTTGATACAAGCGCCACGCATTCGGCGGTCACGCCACACGTCTTGATCAAGACCTGCCTTAACCCACTCAGCCTGTTTGGTCTGATTGGAGGCGACCGTCCCTTGACTCCTAGGTTGGCCCTTCCCTCGGCCACCTGCCTTAGTCTTTACTACCGCGGCGGGGGTGCTACCCTTAGCTATCTCCTCGCTGTCAAACTCTGTGTAGTCCACCAGGTCAGAGAGCTCGTCAATCTCTGTTTGAGTCCCATCAGACTCCACCATCATCAACTCCGCCCCCTTCTTCTTCCACTCCTGAGGACTCTTCTTCTTCTTTGAGTCATTTCCTGAGATGGGTTGAGCATTGCCTAGCGTGGCCTCCAAATCTAAAGCCTTCCTAGACAATGTCTCAAATGAGTGGTACTCGGTGCGTGCCTCACTGGCTAGTAAGTTCCTGATGTTCTCTGGAAGACATCTAATGAAAGTAGTTAACAGGAACTGGTCACTGTAGTTGATGCCCGGGACAAGGATCAGGCTCTCAACGGTAGTCGTAAGCTCTCTAACTGACCGGAACTTGCGCTGGTCTAGTTTATTTATGGNAACGGTAGTCGTAAGCTCTCTAACTGACCGGAACTTGCGCTGGTCTAGTTTATTTATGGCATCAGTGGCCCTTTGCGCCTCCTGTAAGTTATGCCATCGAGCTTCTACCATCTCCATGAACTGGTCTAGAGTCAAAGACTTGGCCTAGTCCGCCATGCGTCGCCCGTACCCGGCTTTCACAACTACCCCATCTAACCATTTGGCTGCCTTACCCTCTAGGTAAGATGCCGCGGTTACCACTTCATCCTCTGGCAAGGTCCTTTTGGCCTTCACCCAAACCAGGACCGTCCTCAACCATGTGTTCAGTTCCTCATCCTTCCTCTCGCCTGAGAAGGCAAGAGGCGGTTTCATTGGGGTCTTCGGGTACCATTGACCTTGCTGTTGTCCTTGTTGAGAGACAGGTTGTTGCGGTGGTGTAGCAACCACCGCTGGACTCGAAGAAGAAGATGCAACAGTCTGTGAGACTGCTGCAGACGTACCACTAGGCTGGGTAGCAGCTTGAACTGGAAAGGGGCCTGACATCGCCGATAACGGCAACGGCGATTGTGGTGGTTGCCGGAATCCTGGCTTTGTCAATGCATCCAGGATCTGGTCCAAAGTGCTCTGCATGAAGTCCAACCTGCTGTCTACACGCGCATGCAGTGACAACATGTTGTTCTTCAACACTTTCAGGGGGTCAGACAAACCTGTTTCGTCCAATCCCTCTAACGCAGCCTTGTCAGCCTCTAACGTATCAAGTCTGGCCGCTCTACTTTTTATCTCTCTTTCTCTATCGGTTGCTTTCTTCAGATCCTCCTCTAACTGCTGGCGGAGCCTCTCGACCTGCTGGATCTCTCTGAGCTCCCTCTCACGTGGGGTCAACGGGCTGAACTGCGAGCCTGCCATTTGACTAGAAGACTGTCTAGACCCTGTTGAACTGGAAGTGCCCGAGGAACTCGTGGAACTCAGTGGCAGTCCCAACTGAGTCCCACTAGTCCCTGACGAGGACGCAGACGATGACGCAGCCGAGCTGGTACCGTTAGCCATTGTTGCTGCTCTGGCTGCTGTTGCCCGCTCTCTTGCTACTCTGTTTGCTTCCTGTAGTCCTGCTGCTAGAGCACGGGCTCTACGTTCGGCACGAAGCCGTCTTTCTTCTCCTTCGTCCAAGGTCCTGAATACGTGCGGAACCCTTAATGCTTCCGAACGTGTAAGTCTCCTACTATCAGCTCTATCATCAACAGGATCTGATCCACTCATTAGTTAGGCAGATAGTTTCTGCACTAGAATCCCCTAGTGGAATCCTACCACAGCATGTATCTAACCGACACCTAATTTTCTAACAATAGTTGTGTCCGGCGACTATCTTACTATACCGAATCAAGTGGCATATCTACAACATTCACACAGATTGTCTACATTGTCTAGGTGCACCCTTACAGCAGCATTAGTTAGTACTGGCTATGGTAGCATACAACAGTTCTACACTAATCTGTCTGTGAGGTCAGCAGTCCGTCAACCAACTAATCAAAGATACAAAAAGACAATGCAGCAGATGTATGATTGATGGGTATATTGGAACCTACCCTCCCCTCAATCCAACGTACCGAACAACATCTTTGAGCGAGCAGTGTCTTCGTGTGTGTATCGGCCCACCCCTGTGCCCAAGTTGTCACCGAGCAAGCCAGCCCAACCACTCTTATTTACCCTCGTACGGCGACGAGCCTTCCTGTCCATGTGATCTGGCTGATCAGGAGGTATTTATAGAGCTCCCCCATCTCTTCAGGAATTCTTTAACGTCGCAGACAGGACGACGATCACAGCCAGATTCACAATGAACTCCCAACCAGAAATATTTATAGACGGTCTGGTAAGCGTCTGTCATGGGCTGGCACACCCGGAGCAACTTCTATTTGGCGCAGCAAAGTGCCTTAATGGACAGCAGCCATCGCATGCGTGACCTACTCCCATTGGGTTGGCATGGTGACCGTGACCCAGTGCTTCGACCAGGGCCCTTCAGAGGCACCGCCCTTTCTCCTTCCAGATGCTTCCGGGAAGATTGTCGTCTCTCAAGGTAGCGCGCTCACGACACCTCACCAAAAGAGAGGACTCTCAAGTTGGACTCACTTCCTCACGGTAAGAAGAGATTGAGAAGGTCTGTCTCTTATACACATCTAGATGTGTATAAGAGACAGAAATCACACTGAAGTCCAAGTATTCAAAGCCAAAGCAGATAGCACATGGAACCGAGTAACCATCCCATTGAGAATGATACAGAAGAATCGTGAGTCAATGTCCATGCCCAMCAGGGCAACACCAACAGCATAACCCAAATGTAGCTCTCTCTTGTGAATGGCGCCAGGCGCCCTATCTACTCTGCAGCCTATCCTACAACTACAGCAATGAACAGCAACCAGACAACTTGACTACCAGCGAGTGATGATGTCAACACCAATGCGGTATTCCACCATCACCAGGTACGTGTCCTCTTCCCCACACTCTCCCTTGTACCCACACAGCGCCCTTCACCTCTGAAGACCACCTTCGCCCTTCACCTCTTCTGCACCCTCATGCGGCCCAGGCTATGGCCGCCAGTGCCTTGCATGCAGGCAGCGCCCTACCGCCTAGCGCTGGCCTGCTTGCTCTTAGYGCAGCACTGCTTTGCACAGCGCAGCACACATACATCCGCGCAGCGTGCCCGCAAGTGCCARCGTYGGCCAAGATCCCTGCTGCCTCGCCCTGCTTGCCTATATGCCAATGCAGCGAGTGTGCGGCCTCCCTTCAGCCTGTGACCGGGACCCAGAGGCTGAAGCCAGCTGAAGCCAACTCGATACAGTTGGGCCCTGGGCAGTGCAGTTGCACCTCTTTCATCAAGGCCTGTGGCCAGATTCAGATAGTGGGCCGATTTCCCTTTGGCATTTTCGGCCTCTCTACCCAGCATGGATTGTCGGCCTCACGTTCGGGTGCCCAGGGCCTAACTAACTCAGAGGCCCTGGGCATTTCAGCATTTGCTGAAATCCGAGACTCGGTGCAYACCAACCAACTGGCGTGCTGCAACTGTAYGAACCCCACTYCGTGAAATGTTGGCACAGAGGGCTCTTGTTGATTTGTTGGCCCGCCTTCACTTAGGGCGGGCACGAGGCTTGCTGGGGCCTTAGCCCAGAACATGTACATCATGGCAAGGCCCCTACTTGAGGGCTCAATCCTCACACAAGGGTCTTCTGCCAATCAAAAAACACGCCCTCGTATGATGACTGAATTGAGCTGGAAGGATAGCTCATATACGTTTGTCATCAGTGTGTATTGTGGTTAGTGGAAGACGATAGTGAGGCTTGTCTCTCATATGTTTGTTGTCTATCTGGTCCTCTCCTCCTCCTCCTCCTCCTCCTCCTCCTCCTCCGCCTCCTCCTCCCCCTTCTTCTTCTTCTTCTTCTTCTTCTTCTTCTTCACATTCTGGAAAGGGTGTGCCTTAGTTTCAAGTTTAATACTTTCTGTTTTATCTTCAATTCAATCAGGATTTATCGGGTGAAAATTTGGGGGAAAAAAAAGAGGAGGAATTTCGGGGTGACCCGCAGCCAAAAGTGGGTGCATTGCACAATTATTCTCCTAGAAGTTTGCAATGTTTTTTTTTTTTTTTTTTTTTTTTTTTCACTCTGGGGCTGCTTGGGACATGATGGGCCCCTCTCCTGGGACCTTGCCCAGGGCGTTAACAAGCGTAGCCCAGCGTAGAAGGATTGTTATATCAAAGAACATGGCACGAGAAGAAGAGCGGGCATGGCGGCAGCTGCTGGAACCGTGGCTGAGCTTAGGCAGGCTGTAACTACACCAACTGAAAGGTAATGGCTGCATTTCAGATTTCTGCATTCTTTTTCTGTGCGCGCCATCACTGGTCGGAAATATTTTCCCCTCTGTCAGCGCACCTTACTACCGTCTTCACCCGAATAGAACGCCCGGTCATTATAGCTGTATTTGGTGCAACTTTCCGTCTAGACTCTAGATACAGTGATAACGACCGGGTGTTCTATTCGGGTGAAGACGGTAGTTAGTTTCTTTTCCTAGCAGTTCTACAATGTGGGCAGCCTCAGCCTTGTGTGCTCTCTTTTTTTTTTTTGTGTGTGGGTGTGAAAACATAGCTCCAATCTATTAGTGGGGAGCAGCAAGTGTAAAGCCTTGTGTGCTCTCTCAACAAGTGCCTAATCAACAAAACATTGAAAACACCAACCAACCGATGAATTTGTTTTTTTTTAACTTTTTTTTTTGCTTTTTTGTTTTGGATCGCAGGCATACGGGAGAAGGATGTATGACCAGAACGGTACTGAAGGTATGGTGCCTTTTTTTTTTTTTTTTTTTTTTTTTTTTTTTTTTTTTTTTTTTTTTTTTTTTTTTTTTTTTTTTTTTTTTTTTTTTTTTTTTTTTTTTTTGGGCAATTGGTAGCGGAGCAGTTTGCAACTTTGCACTGACTGTTGGGCTCCATTCTTCTGCATGAATTGGAATTTTTTTTTGGGTATGTTTCGGTTAATTTGATTAATTAAGACCATACTTGCAACCGCTCAAGCCGCACATTCGTGCGGAGTTCCGTGCGGGGGGTGCCTGTGCGGAATCGTGCAGGTTTTTTATTTTTATTATTATTATTTTATCTGTTTTTGGGAGGGGGAACGGGGGGGCGTATGACAGGAAGATGGGGATATGGCGAGGAGAGCAGGATATGGAGAGGAGGAGGAGGATGTGGACAAGGAGGACGACGAGGATAGCAAGGACGACGAGGAGGAGTCGTCGAGATGGGGGAGGAGAAGAGATGGACGGAGGGAAAAGAGGAAGGGCAGGAGGAGGAGGACAAGTGGGAGGAGGAGGAGGCACGGATGGCGAGGAAGGGGGGACACGAGGAAGGGGTGGACACGAAGAAGGGAAGGAGACGAGGAGGCATGGAAGATGAGCAAGTACGAGGAGGAGGAGGAGACAAGGAGGAGGAGGAAGGGCAGGAGGAGGAGGACAAGTGGGAGGAGGAGGAGGCACGGATGGCGAGGAAGGGGGGACACGAGGAAGGGGTGGACACGAAGAAGGGAAGGAGACGAGGAGGCATGGAAGATGAGCAAGTACGAGGAGGAGGAGGAGACAAGGAGGAGGAGGAAGGGCAGGAGGAGGAGGACAAGTGGGAGGAGGAGGAGGCACGGATGGCGAGGAAGGGGGGACACGAGGAAGGGGTGGACACGAAGAAGGGAAGGAGACGAGGAGGCATGGAAGATGAGCAAGTACGAGGAGGAGGAGGAGACAAGGAGGAGGAGGAAGGGCAGGAGGAGGAGGACAAGTGGGAGGAGGAGGAGGCACGGATGGCGAGGAAGGGGGGACACGAGGAAGGGGTGGACACGAAGAAGGGAAGGAGACGAGGAGGCATGGAAGATGAGCAAGTACGAGGAGGAGGAGGAGACAAGGAGGAGGAGGAAGGGCAGGAGGAGGAGGACAAGTGGGAGGAGGAGGAGGCACGGATGGCGAGGAAGGGGGGACACGAGGAAGGGGTGGACACGAAGAAGGGAAGGAGACGAGGAGGCATGGAAGATGAGCAAGTACGAGGAGGAGGAGGAGACAAGGAGGAGGAGGAAGGGCAGGAGGAGGAGGACAAGTGGGAGGAGGAGGAGGCACGGATGGCGAGGAAGGGGGGACACGAGGAAGGGGTGGACACGAAGAAGGGAAGGAGACGAGGAGGCATGGAAGATGAGCAAGTACGAGGAGGAGGAGGAGACAAGGAGGAGGAGGAAGGGCAGGAGGAGGAGGACAAGTGGGAGGAGGAGGAGGCACGGATGGCGAGGAAGGGGGGACACGAGGAAGGGGTGGACACGAAGAAGGGAAGGAGACGAGGAGGCATGGAAGATGAGCAAGTACGAGGAGGAGGAGGAGACAAGGAGGAGGAGGAAGGGCAGGAGGAGGAGGACAAGTGGGAGGAGGAGGAGGCACGGATGGCGAGGAAGGGGGGACACGAGGAAGGGGTGGACACGAAGAAGGGAAGGAGACGAGGAGGCATGGAAGATGAGCAAGTACGAGGAGGAGGAGGAGACAAGGAGGAGGAGGAAGGGCAGGAGGAGGAGGACAAGTGGGAGGAGGAGGAGGCACGGATGGCGAGGAAGGGGGGACACGAGGAAGGGGTGGACACGAAGAAGGGAAGGAGACGAGGAGGCATGGAAGATGAGCAAGTACGAGGAGGAGGAGGAGACAAGGAGGAGGAGGAAGGGCAGGAGGAGGAGGACAAGTGGGAGGAGGAGGAGGCACGGATGGCGAGGAAGGGGGGACACGAGGAAGGGGTGGACACGAAGAAGGGAAGGAGACGAGGAGGCATGGAAGATGAGCAAGTACGAGGAGGAGGAGGAGACAAGGAGGAGGAGGAAGGGCAGGAGGAGGAGGACAAGTGGGAGGAGGAGGAGGCACGGATGGCGAGGAAGGGGGGACACGAGGAAGGGGTGGACACGAAGAAGGGAAGGAGACGAGGAGGCATGGAAGATGAGCAAGTACGAGGAGGAGGAGGAGACAAGGAGGAGGAGGAAGGGCAGGAGGAGGAGGACAAGTGGGAGGAGGAGGAGGCACGGATGGCGAGGAAGGGGGGACACGAGGAAGGGGTGGACACGAAGAAGGGAAGGAGACGAGGAGGCATGGAAGATGAGCAAGTACGAGGAGGAGGAGGAGACAAGGAGGAGGAGGAAGGGCAGGAGGAGGAGGACAAGTGGGAGGAGGAGGAGGCACGGATGGCGAGGAAGGGGGGACACGAGGAAGGGGTGGACACGAAGAAGGGAAGGAGACGAGGAGGCATGGAAGATGAGCAAGTACGAGGAGGAGGAGGAGACAAGGAGGAGGAGGAAGGGCAGGAGGAGGAGGACAAACAGGAGGAGGACAAGTCGGAGGAGACGAAAAGGAGAAGGGAGGAGAAGACATGGATGATGAGGAAGGGGAGGAGGAGCAAGGTGAGGCAGTACTCCTGTAATTGTTTTTTTCATCTCACTTATAATTTTGGCAGGGGCCCTCAAACGCACCATTTCGACCCCGACCTTTTTCTTTTCTGAGGGGGGTGATGGGTCGTTCCCCGCACACGTGGTGCGCCACAAGGGATCGCTTGGGCATGTGTGCCGCACTTAGGGAACCGCCCGCACGACGTGCGCTTGCAAGTATGATTAAGACTTATTCTACTGAATCAGTAGCAAGTGTGATTGTCGTCTGTGCGTTATAGAACACAATTAAAAAGAAGTTTAAAGAACCAATCAATTATCTATATATTTTGTAATTGTTTTTTTTCTTGAACAATGCATAGCGAAATTACTAATTAGTGAATTAGTTAAAATAAGTCCGTACCGCGAAGGCCCATAATACCTCCAGGGATCTGCAACTGCACTGCTTCTTATTCTTCTTGTTCTGTCATGTAAGGATGCCTAACTGCCAAAACAACTAATGAGCTTCAAATCCGCCCCTCCCCTTCACCCTGTCGCACGTGTGTGTGCCCGTGTGTGTCGCCCTGTTGCATGTGTGTGTGTGTGTGTGTGTGTGTGTGTGTGTGTGTGTGTGTGTGTGTGTGTGTGTGTGTAAATTTGGTGGAATTCGTTCGTTTGTCTGCTTCTGCAGCAGTTACAGGGCATGGTGGTGCAAGATCGGGCAGTATGGTCCCGGCTGGAAACGGGGAGTCAGCGACAGCACTAGGGGTGGGGATGGACTATTGGCCCCACAGCACGGCATCAAGCACAGCAGCTGGCGTTACGTCAACAAAATCGACGACGGTGGCGAAGCGTGGTGTTACTACAGGGGCGGTTGTGCCGATCCCACCACCTCCTCCGCCTCTACCTCCTCCTGTCACTTCATCAATGACATCACTTGTGCCGGCCACGCCTCCTGAAGGACTTCAAGAGCTGTGGTACCAGGTAGATGAGCTTCCCTGTGATCCCTTCGCTGTTCTGTAGCTTTGGTACCTGAGCTGTGGTACCAGAGCTGTGGGGTACCAGAGCTGTCCGGTACCAGATATATGTACCTCTCTCTGAGCACAGGGAGTTATGGACCCCAAGCGGCCTACTTCTAGCCAAGGTCCTATTGACTAAGGATGCTCTAGACTGCATGACATGTGTGTGTGTGTGTGTGTGTGTGTGTTTGGAGTCTTGGACCTGTCAAGTTGTCCTGGAGCACAAACCTGGTATGTGTCTGCAAGTGGAAGCAATTTGTATATGTGGTGTGGCCTGACCGCTTTCACTCATTTGCTTCCCCTGTCTGGATTTAAGGTAATTATACTAGATAGTAATCAGTTATTTGAACTTATTTGAAGTTTTTTCATACTATTTCTTGACTATCAAAGCAAAGCGAAGCAATGCACATGAAGAACTCCCACATCCGCCACGTGGCACCCACTATGCTAAGATTATTACAATTTCGTAATAGATAAAATTGATAAATAGACTAATAAATAGTAATAATCATTAGATAATTTGCTTATTTGA